TTAGAAGTAGAAAGTAAATGGATAAAGAGTTGTCCTTGTACTTCCTAGGAATTAAACAAAATGGGCTGTTAAAGAGAAGAAAAAAGAAATAAACGGAGAAAAATCATTGAAACTAGCATGCTAAGACTAAATTTAGAGTGATGAGATATTTGAATCTGCTCAAGTGACCACAGGTAAATTCAAGTTTAGAGAGGTGCCTTGAACAGACTGAAATAGCAGAAAGATGTATGAAATCAAACAGAAAGCTGCAGCACACAGAAACAAAGATCAATAAAAGAATGATGTTATCTAACAGCAACAGAAAGGAGAAGCCAAATTTGGAGCTACTGTGAGCAAAACAGCAACCTGGACTTGGTGAAAGCTTGAATACAAGAGAAAAGAATGTGAGCTAAAAGGTTGGGATAGCAAGAATAACTAAAAATAACTTTCAAAATAAATATTTGTGAACATTTTAAATATAAGAGTCTACTGTAACCAGAAATATGGAGAATACGGAAAATAATAGAAGCAAATGTCTGGGATCTACTCTCCAGATTGTTACCTATTGATATTTTGATCTTAGACCAAAAGTTTGTCTCTGTTGACAACAGTTTCCCAGTTGTATAAAATAGCATCAGGCATCACAATGAGCCAGATAGTCAGACTCAAAGGTCAACCTCATCTGAAAAGAGAAACAGTAATCTGAAGCCTTTGTGTTAGTCAGCCTTCCATACTGTAACAAAATACTTTAGATAATCAACTTAAAAAGAGGAAAAAATCTATCTTGGCTCGCAGTTTGGAAGGTTTCAGTTCATGGTTGGTAGCTTTGGGACCTGTGGCATGGCAGTACATCATGGTGGGGAGCACATGGTGGAGCCATTCAACTCATGGCACAGATGCAAAACAGAGAAAAAGCAAGGGGTTGAGGTCCCAATATCCCTTTCAAGGGCACACCTTCAGTGACTGGATGACCTTCTACCAGGCTCCACCTCTTAAAGGTTCCACCACCTCCAAATAGTGCCATGGGCTGGGGATCAAGCCTTTCTCACCAGGGCCCTTGGGAGACATTGACCACTAAGACTATAAATTTAGTCTTAGCATGCCACAGCACCTGTAGACTTCAGCTATAACAGCTTGTCTATCCAACTTAAAGTGGTAACCTGCCAAACTATAGGGTAGAAGCACCCAACTATGGCAAGGATGGGGAAACCTTTGACTCTCCTCCCACTTGTCACCCTAGAGTGGAGTGACAAAGTAAATTGGAGTTGTATTTTCTATTTAGCTTCTGACAGTTATCAGAGTCCCAAGAAACCATATTTTTACTATATGTAGCGTCCATGCTGTCCTATTCATCCCTGTAGTCTTAGAACCTACCAGAGGGTAGAAGAGGCTTCTGCATGGCCATTGCTCTCTCACAGTGACCTAAGATACTTTACACTAGGGCTTCCACCAGGCATTAGGGGATCCTTTCATCAGGGCGAGTGCTGCTAATAAGCCACAGGGGAAAGTTACTGTCAATACCCCAGTGGCCAGTTTGTGATATAAATCCAAGTTTTAAAACTACACAGCTGTGCTTGCCATTCCTTGTCACTTCAGCCCTGTTTTCTCATTTTAAATGTCACTGAAGTATAATATACATACAGAAAAATGCTCATATCCTAACTGTGCAGTTTGATGAACTTTTACAAACTGAACACCCCTCATGAAACAAGAATCCACATCAAGAAACAGAAATCTATCAAAGCTTGAGAAGCCCTCATGCTGCCTTCAATCACTAACTTTCCACACACCCAAGAGTAAAATCCAACCAGACTTCTAACACCATAGATTACTTCCACTTGGTTTAAGCTTTTATATAAACATATTCATGCAGTATCCACTCTTCTGTGTCTAGCCCTCCATTTGTCACCTGGGGAAATGGCCCCTTGTGTAACACAGGAGTGCCATAATTCCATGCTGATAGCTTGGGCGTAACACAAAGAAAGGGAAGCAAACCTTGAGGCTCTGTTATAGAGGGTTTTGTGTTATACTGCCTCTTTTCAAAGCACAGGTAAAATCAGAATCACTTTAAACAGTTCAAAGCTATACAAGAGACACACAGGTCCTGATAGCTAAAAAATTATGTCTAAAGTTACAGCTATACCATTGGGAACTTCCTACATTTGAACATGTACTGAGATAGTAAAGATCAGTCCTCCCTGAAACCCATATAGGGAGTGGATAGGAGGGGAGAAGGGAACCCAAACTCATGGACACAGGCACAGTAGTTGTGATGAAAGTTAAAGGCTACTAAATGCTATAGTATTTGCCATGGAATTGGAAGACTAGGAATTGTTATAGAGGGCCCAAGCTCTTTGTAGTTAAGGCCCCTAATGCCTGTGGCAATGAAGATGAAGTCAGAGATAGTTTGGCTGGTACAACCTTAGGGAATATTCTGCTTTTGGCACAGGAGTCCATTAATGTCTTAGCCCAGACTGACTCAGAACAAGAAGTTCCCAGTGCCCCCGCAGCAAAACTCTGTACAATAGGGGTGGATCAAAGGAGCAGGGATGAAAACATTTTCTAAAGAAATAGAATAAATTAAATTGCTGTGAGCACCTTGAAACTTTTCTTTGTGTGTGTGTTGGCGGGGGTTGGGGGTGTCTCTTTCCATCTGCTCCTGGCATTTTATGATATTAAGCACCCATTAAACACTGAAAAATCCAGAATTTACTGGACACTTTGGAGCTTAGGTCCCCCTGGCATCATTCAGGCAACCAGCAATTTCTCAGGATCACATCTTCCAGAGAGGAGCTGCAGAATTATCACCAGGTGGTTCTGCTCACTAAATGAAGAAATAAAGGCTAGATGGTTAGGGTTGTCCAGACCTGGAACAACAGTGGCTTTGGACTACCGCGATTATGTGGTAAGTTCAGAATACCCCTCCTAATTTCACCAGAGCTACTGGCAACTATCCTCACTACCACAAATTCTAATAATAGGTACTAGTTATTGAGCTATTATCTATTGCTTCATTTAAAAATAATCTCATGCAATAGATATTACTGTTGTCTTCACTTTACAAACATGTAAGACAAGGAACAGAGATGCAGCCAAATCATGGGGTCATAAAGTAGATTTAAACCACTGACTACAGAGCATGTATTCTCAAGCAGTAGTTTTTCAACAGAGATTGTAACTCAGTGGTAGAGTGCTTGCATAGTAGGGTTAGGCCCTGGGTTTAATTCTTAGTACCACAAAAATAAATAAACTGAAAGTTAAAGAAGTGACTTGTGAAGTGTTTGTTTCATTTTTTTACCACAACCCAGTGAGAAATTATTTCACAATTTAACACAGAACAAATAGTTATATACAGACATATAGATGCCTAAAGAAGATTTTAGAAAACAATATTCGTACTTTCTACATAAATGTTTTAGTTAAATATTTCTATATTATCAGTATTTCCTTTAAAATGTTCATTGTGATTTACGAATATAGGTCATGATGCATAAATAGGGTGCGAAAATTTGATCTGCAGTAGAAAAGCACTGTTCTAAGGTGCTATGCTATATTGCTTTCTCAGGATCTTCCTACTTGATTCTCTAGGAATGGAATTTAAGGGAACACTATGTAATTAACCACTAGTAACTGTTTAACACCCAGATCTTGGGAACTGTATGGGGACTGATTTTTAGTGGCTGTTGATTTTTTTGATATAAATATTCCCACCATGGCCAGTTGTTTGCTCCCAACACGATGCCACCAAATACAGATTTAGGAAGAGATACACATTATAAACTCTTGAGAGCTTGTCCCAGCTGACTGTGGCACAAGAATGATTTGCCCCAGAATTTTTCAGCAAAGCAGAATTGAAAAATGTATATTTAAGGTCATTTTAATAACCAGAATAGCCTCCCCTTGCCAGAAATAACTTTTAATGGTATTTAATCACCTACTTGATGAAGTATGATTTTAATCTGAAATCTTATAGAAGTTGGCTTATAATTAAGCACAGAGTTCATAGGTGCTATGACTTGAAAACATTTAAAAAAACCCCTATTCTTAACTATCTGTACTCTAAGATATCTAAAATTCCATGAATAAAATGTTTCTCTAACTTTTAAGCCAGTATTTGGTCCACTTAAAAGTTGATTATCCCTGAATGGGTAAAAAATAAATTTGCATTTCTGTGATGAAAACTAATTGCTTATTATATAAGATGATTTTTCATCTGTTTTTTTTTGTTACTATAAGAGAATTCCTGAGACTGAGTAATTTATAAAGAAAGCAGTTTGGGCTCACAATTCTGTAGGCTGGAAAGTCTAAGATCCAGTGGCCACATCTGGAGAGAGAGATGTGCTGTGTCAACTCACTGGAAAGCAAAAGGGCAAGTGGGTACATGTGGAGATAAAGCAAGAGAAATGACCTGACCTATGAAAAGTAACACAAATGAGAAATTAGAATTCTGATATCAGCATGAAGGATGATGTTGGAGTACTATATTTTAGAAAGACCCATCATAAATAAGGTAGCACATTAGGAGCCATCATGAAGCCTGGGACCATCTAAGAGTTAAGATAGCATCAGGAATCTACAGAAAAGCATAACTAGGAAAAAAGTTGTGGAATTAAAAAATTATCAATGAAGAATAATTTTAGTTTTAGCACATAGCATGTGCTTAATAAACTTTACTGTCATTAATGGAAAGGGACTGGGAAAGCAGAGAGATGCTATTTTGGAATTGTTTAGAGGCGAGTTACAAAAAAAAATTCAAACTGACTTAAGTTTAAAACAGGAATTTATTCTCTTATGTAACCAGGAAATCTTAGTTGGATTAAGCAGCATATATAATATTGTTAGGTTTTTTTTTATATATTTTCTCATAACTTGGCTCTCCATTTCTCTGAGTTTATTCTCAGAAAAGTTCTTGTCTCATGATGGTAAGATGGCCAAAAACAGCTCCCAAGTTTATGTCCATTATTCTGAGCTTCTCTGAAAGAAATTACCCTGATGGTTCTTTATTTTTTTTCTTACATTAGCCTGGTTGGTGATAATTTAACCATAGGCTCATCCCTGAAGCAGTGGCTACACCTAGACACTCTGGATATTCAGGTATGTCACAAGCTACCTGTCAAGCCCCAGGAGTGGATTTGCCTCACCTTAGAAGCATATGTTTTGGTTCCCAACGGAAAACTATACTGTAGCTTCCAGAAAAATAGATAATAGATTCCAATCAGTCAGACTACAAAGGAAAAACCAGTTGTGTTTCAGCTAATGAGGATTTTGCTTAAAAGTAACAAATCTCCAACATCATATCCAGCAAGTCAATTCAGGGCTAGTATTAAAAAGGCATAACAACTAGTAGCAAGTTAATAAAATGGAGAGGAACCATAACCTTGAAGTTGGAATCCAAAGATACTAGTGTGCCTGAATTTAATACTTGAATTTCCAGATCATGAAGAAATTCAAGGTGTAGGTGAGAGATTCTGGAGGACACAAGAGACATAAGAACAGCCAGAAAAGTGGAGGAATGCTCCAAGGACTTGGAGGATTGGCCATTTGCCAACTTGACAGAAGTATTTCAACATTTGAACAAGTAGTACAATTGTACAGTGTGTACCAGCTAGATTTCAGCCTTGATTCAATCTAACAGTAGCTATAAAATTAAAGAAGGATGTGGTATTAAATGCTACATTCAGAAGCAAAGATTTTGAATTATGGTATCATTCTTTTAACAGAAGGACTCTAGAAGGCCCCAAAGAGTTTCTAACAGGAAATATTCAAACCTATACATATAGAAAGAATAAAATCAAACAACAAAATTGCCAAAATGGTAATGGAACTCATCTTTTCTTACTGTTTTTTTATTTCAGAAAATTTAGTTTCCATGAAACTATTCTAACAATGCTTAGTGAGTAGACTCACAGATATTCTTCAGTATTTATCCACACATCAAACATTTCAGTGATCTTCATTCCTTCTTATAGGTTTGGTTTTTCTTTGATGTTCTTTTCTGTTAGTTTGATGTAATTCCTTTAGCATTTTTCATGATGTAAGTGTACTGATTATGAAATCTCTCAGCTTTAGTTGCCATATATATATATATATATATATATATATAATATATATATACACACACACACACACACCTATATACACTGAACTATAGTTTATCTGGAAATAGAATTATGTGATGCTTGATCATTTTTTCCCCCTTAGAACTTTAAAGATGTCCTCCCATTGGTTTATGGCTAACATTGTTTCTGCTAATAAGTTGATTGTCATTCATATTGTTTTTGTGCATATATGTGTTGTTTTACCCTGAATGTTTCCTAAGTTTTCCCTTTACCTTTTATGTTATCAACTTAACTTTAATTTGCAAATAAATTATTTTATTTGTAGTTTTCCTGCTTAGGGTTTGCTGATTTTCTTGGTATTATAGTCTTGTTAACAACCAAATTTGGGGAATTTTTATGCATTATTTCTTAAAATTTTTTTTTTCCTTCCATATTCTCTCCTCTCCTTCTGAAATTCTAATTACACTTAAATTAGACTACTTAATATTTCTAAGCAAAAAACTGAAGCTTTGTTCAATTTCTTCTCAATCTTTTTTTCTCTCTGGTCAGATTGGATACTTTTTCTTATTAAATATATCTTCTAAGTTCATAATTTTTTCAGTTCTAATCTGTTACCTTCCTCCCATGAAATTTTTGTTTTAGATATTTTACTTTTGAATTAAAGAATTATAGTACAATGTTTTTTGTAGTTTCCCCTTTCTGATGAGTTTATTTAATTGTTTTAGCATTTGTAATAGTCAATTTAAAGTCCTCATGTATTGATTACAAATTGTAAGTCATTTCAGGGCTTATTGCTAATGGTGTTTTCTCTCTTTGGGTGACACTTTTTAAATTTTCCTATATATCAAAGAATTTTTATTGCATGTTAGTCACTATGAAAGATATGTTTGTAGGCAGTTTAATTATGTCATTTTCCTTTAAGAGTTTTGTTTTAGGCGATAGGTAAACAATAGGTGGATCATTTTAGTTTTGTTACATTAGTTGTAGTCTTTATTAGGGTAAGTCTGCTCTGTACTTCTTCCTATGACATGCCCTTTATTCCAGAGCTTAGCCTTCATAGAGTACTGCCTTTCTGGGGTTTTAATGAAAAGTATAAAGTTGCCTAGTTTGATCTCTGCCTTCCAGCTGGGTTGGATCTCTCACATCACTCAGATATGCAGTCAAAACTGCATATTCATATGTTCTCCATCTGTGCATTCCACCAATTACATTTACAAAATAGGAAAAATTTCTAGAAAATTCCAAAAAGCAAAATTTTAATTTGCCACATGTTGAGCATTAATCTGAACCCACATGAGTGACATGAAACATAGACATACCCTGCTGTAGCCTCCTGGCAGTTCACAGATCCACAGTCTCTCTCCAGATTCACTGTTTCAGCACTATTTCTTTCTTATCTTTGTTATGTACTATGATTGAAGTGTCTGTAATGAACACATACAGACATTTATTTCATAAACAATACAATATAACAACTATTTCCATAGCATTTATATTGTACAAGGTATTATAAATAACATAGAGATTATCTGAAGTCTATGGAAGGACGCAGGTAGGTTAGGTGTAAATACTAGAGCATTTTATTTAAGAAACTTAAACATCTGAGGATTTTATTATTTTCAGGGAATATTAGAACCAAGTCCCTTCAAGGTGCTGAGGCACAATTGTACATAGCCTCCGATATCAACATTTATCTCTCAACCCTAATGCAGACAGGTGCTATCTGTTAGATTTCACCGAGTCTTGCCAAATAACCAGACAAATACTTACACCACCCCATCTCCACTCAGCTCTCTGCTCTGAAAGTTGCAATCACTTTAACAGCCCAGACTCTAATCTTTTATCTGTTTAGGCCAGTAAGACTTCCACTGCTTCAGGGTAGGAAAGTGTCCCCATGCATAATACTAAAGAAATCAGAGGGTAATTATGGGAGATTTATTGGGTGATTCTCTTGGTAATCATAGTTTGTTTATATATTTTGTTCAATTTTATAGCTATTTCCAGCAGAATGGCAAATCCAATACCAGTTACTATGACATAGCAATAAGCAGAAGCTACAGATATTCTAAAGACATCATTTGGTACTAGGCAAAGATGGTGCTTTTTTAAACATTTTACCAATCATACACTAAAGAAAATTTGAAAGTCAGAAGTGATACTTTGGTGGAAACATGTGCATGTTTTCTTTTGTGGACTTGGGCCATAATGCTGAAGTTTTCCTGAACGCTAATCCTAGTTACATGCTTACAACTTACAGTCACCTTGAACAATTTGTTCTACTTTCTTTCCCTCTCTTTCTCACCTTAACAACAAATAATGTAATTCGTTCTCACCAGAATCAGTAAGAGTCAATTTTCTGTGAGAACACTTCATAATCATGCAAGAACAGAAACTATATATTCCTAGGTATTATTAATAATGGCCATTTGATGGGCCATATTGCCCATCGGTAAAGAATCCTATAAAGGTATTCCTCCATTTCACTCCTTCACCATTTTGTCCAGAAGCAAAGGGAAAGCTTTTGACAAACCTAGTTTTTAAACTCTCTGTTCATGCTGACAAACCTGTAACTTCTATTAGACTTGGCAGCTTCTAAGAGAATGAGAACAAAGGTAAACCACAGGGAGTTTAGGGAGGCTCCAACTCAAAGATTTGTACTGGGGTTAGGAAACTTGAGGATATTAAAAAAAAAAAAAAAAACAGGATAAATGGTAACACACAACATGTGTGCACAAACACACACACAAGAGAAAACACTGTGCACTTTGATGTTTAGGGAAATAAAGATTTACTTTGAAGGGAAGTGAGCAGATCTTTCATGTATTTTTATACTGAGTGACCCAACCAAGTTCCTATTGATTAGAATTATATAAGAGCCAAAATTTAGCACAACTGTAAATCTGTTTGCCTACGTCATAAAGACACTTTCCTCTAAATTCAAAAGATAAAGGAAAACAATGTGTGATTTTTAAGTTTTAAATTTTATTTTGGTCCAAGGCCAAATAGCAAAATGGGCCTCTCTAAGGAACATCAATATTCCTTTTTTGGCTCCATTATCTCATCTGGCAGTATTGTCCTGTTCAGTGTAGTCCTCCAGAGTTCTTGGGCCACTTTCATCTTCTCTATGAATACAATAGGCTCATAGGAAAGGGTCTCCTTAAAGAATGCCCGCTATTCAACCTAATTTCTTAATTATTTAAAGTGTTACATACATTATAGGATTTCAAACAGCCTTAAATTCAAACAGAGGAAAAGCTAAGCTCTTCTCCCTAACTTCAAATCTTTGTCTATAGGCCTGGTCTACACTATGCTATTCTGCCCCATCCTTCATACTTTCAATGGACTTTACCTTTCATTAGATGCTTTACTGTTTTTAATTTTTATTATTATTTATTTTTGTGGTACTGGAGTTTGCACCTAAGGCCTCACACATGCTAGGCAACTCCTTTCCCACTGAGCTATATCACCAGCCCTGGTGCATTACTTTATATTCCTTCCAATCGCTGTCGGATCAACAATATGTATTTTATTTCTAGTTTCTCCAAATGCTCTCAACTTTCCCAGTTTTAATTATACATTTTTTCCTCTAAAAAATCGACCAACTGTTCAATATTAAAATGTCAGTTCACTTTAATATTATACATTTCTCTAATATTTTAATATTACAGATTTCTCTGTAATATCATTTTTAAAATGACCTTCTTTGAGTGATTTTCTTCATTCTCTGGATGGGCTTTCCATATGATTTTTCAAATCTCTTGATCAGACTCTCTCAAAAACTTAAATGCTACTTGGAATTTATCATGTACCCAACATTTGACAACTGAGTGTGAGACACTGTGGGAAACACAAAGCATTTAATACATTGTCCTTAATCCATAGTGTCTTACCATCTAACAGGAAACAGGAACAATTTTCAATGTAAAAAAAAAAAACAGTGCAAATAAAGCATAAAACAAAATATGATCCCCACGACAAATACAACAGGGTATGTAGTAATGCATCAAATGGAGGGACCCCTCACTGCAGGAAAAA